AATGCTGCTCTTTGGACACGGTGTGACTATTTGGCTTTCAATATGATGGTGTGATCTGGAATTGTCATCTCGCTGTTGCTTATTTTCCTTGCAATTTGGTATCGGAGCTGGTTCGTATTGCGCTCATTGGTTCTTCGCAATAGCTATTGGTGCTTCACATGAGGTGTGGGGCAGTGAAAAGGCATTGGCGTTGAACGTTAGGAGTGGGCGCGCCAGGGAGCTATGTGGTGACATACGGGGTGTATGCTAGATGATGAGAACTCGCTGATGTGGCATATTAAGCCAAAGTGGAACCGCATTCTGCTGTTGGTTGTGCTGAGGCAAAGACCAGTCATCATAATTGCACATCAGGTTACCGTGAGAAATCTGTGGTTGGGGGCAGCATTTATGAGGTACGTTGCTCTCATCCTTATCTACCCTCTTCATCTCTTCTTACCGTGAGGAAGTGAGTTCTGTCTTGGGAGTCCTCTCGATGTGAGGTGTCGCGAGCGCTCAACCTTGAGAGTCGACATTCTTCCTGGGCAGCAAGCTGGTGGGAGACGGGCGAAGCCTCTGAAGGGCCCTGGACGAAGCACTCGGGTCACGGTCACCACGCCAACCCGCTGAGACTAGTACACGCATGCTTGGGCAGCAAGTCCTTGGTTCTGCTGTTTGCGCAATAGAGGTCGTGACGGGCATGCCAACCTTTTAGGAGACGCTTACCAGACCTCTATAAATATTTCTGGCTGGGGACTCAGATTGAATCTGGCTGTGATCGTCGTCCTGACTGCAGCGTTAAATAATTCCTGAGGAGCTGGGGGCTCTCCTAAAATTCCTCTTGATCAGCCAGATCAACCGGGTGCAAGGCTCGTTCCGTACGAGGGTAAATAAGAGTGGACTGGCGGGCATGTTCGGCAATGACTTGGGGCAAAGGGGTGGGCCGGATTGCACACCTTCAGACACGCTGCTCAACCAGATGCTCAGGAACGTTGACACAAAGTGACCAATTAAGAAGAATACAGGGGGAGGGGGGATTCCGGTAACTGTTCACAGTGGCAATCAACTATCAATCAGCCATCCAGTATACATCTCCAACAGGAGATGTCATTTTTATTTTGATTATCTAGTTGTTACGGACTTGACTAACAACTGACAGACAACTACAGATAGATTAGATCTTTGTTGTAGTGCAATCTGTTCCAGGGTAATCCAAAAATAGAATTAGTATATCCTGTAGGACCTGACATTAGTTGTTACTTTATCACCTAACTGTTTCTGTTCCATCCGACCGAGATTAGTTGTGGTTCATAATCGGTTGTGTGTCAGGCTAAGGTAGGTTTCAGTGTGGATTCTAGTTTAGATCACACACTGTAGCTCATGAGTGATGCAAGCACTAGTGAGGAGGAGTTGCTAGTGAACGACCGTAGGACAACTCGCGGAACTGCTCGTAGTCGACCCTTGACATTCTTGGAGTTAGGTCCAGGAGACGAGAGAAGATTGCGGAGGGAGGCTAGAGAGAGAACATCGCCAAGGAGAGCGAGGGTAGCTGAGGATAGTGCCAGGATTAGAGTTTCAGCTAGTTCCGGTGCAACCATGGCTACCTCATCCATGTCACAAGTCTCTACACAGTCCACTTCGTCAGGAGTCAGTCAGAGTGGTTCTCAGGTTTCCACTAGTCAGATTGCTAGCTTGCAAGTCAGCCAACAGATTCACCTCATGCTAGAGGACTTAGATATCCGGCAAGCAGAAGAACTTCAGGATGAGCTACAACGGCAGTTGGACGAGGCAGCGGAGAGGAGAAGAAAAGCCATACTTAGGAAGGCTAGACTAGGGAGTAGATTGCAGGAGCTAGGCAGACTGAAGCACTAGATGAGGCAGCATTAGACCCTGCTGGTCGTGTGCTGCGTAATGCTTTACTTTCTGTAGCTGAAGCGCAGAACGTCCAGCAGGAATTGCTGGCCGAATTGGTGGCAGGCGAGAAACAAATCCTGGCGGAACTTCGGGCTCCTCGCACAGCGGTGAGGCAGCCACAACTTGCTGTGGTTCCCCCTGCGGGTGCGGGTCCATCATCGATGCCGCCACACACAGGGCAAACTTTCTCTCCTATGTTTGGCATGCCCCCTCCAGGTGGTTTGGTAGCAACTAGTGGTCCGGTTCCAAGAGTCTCTGCTGTACCATCCACGACAGTGGTAACTACAGTCCCACTGTCAAGCCAGGCCCAAGTAAGTATGCAACAACCTGTTTCAGCAGCTATGCAGCCGCTGCAGCAAGCTCCTCGGCCCATGCAGCCTATGCAATGAATGCCCAAGATACCTCTGATGAGTCCCAAGCCTTTCTCTGGAGATAGGAAGAAGGAGGAAGACTTGGACACCTGGGTGAGGACTGTGCCTACTTATGTGAGGCATAAACTCACAAGGCCAGAGCAAGAAATTGTAGTGGCTGCCTCCTTTTTAGAGGGGTCAGCAGCCCGCTGGTTGAATGACTTAGTGCAGCAACAGGGCTATGGGGAGGATTTCGATGCCTGGGCTCAGGCTCAGACATTAGAACAGTTCGTACGGTCTGTCTACAACACGTGGCATGACCCGCAAGGGGCTCAAAAGGCCACCGATGCTATCAACAACCTTTGTTCCCGCAGGTTCAAGGATGTTAGAGAGCTTACAAACAATGTAGAACGCCTTCTCGTGGTACCTGGTGTGCGCTTTGACCAGCAGGTTCTCCTGACGGATTACCTAAGGTGCCTACTTGCAGAGGTAAGGACCAAGCTGGTCGATGAGGCGTATGTCGAACAGCACACCTTCGCTTCGTTTAGTAAGAAAGCTCTGGACATAGAGGCAAAGTTGGGAACTGCGCATAGGGCATCTCATGATGGTAGGAAGAGACTACCCCAGGACTGGAAGAAGAAAGGTCTGTTAATGTCTGTTGACCATGATGGTCAAACGACGAAGATTGATGAATTCCCAGACCTTGGGGAGTTCACAGAGCAGGATGGGGCCAGCGAGACTTCGGATGGGGGAGTCGTGGCACCCATCAAGGAAAAGGCTAGGGGGATCGAGAAGAAGAAGGTAGGACGGTTCACGGGTTAGGGCGACCGAGGGACACCCGCATGGGTGAAGATTGGTTTAGATTACGAGGTTTGGCGTGACCTCGTTGCCAGGGGCACATGCATGAACTGTGGCAATTATGGCCACACGTCCAGGACTTGCCGTGGCAAGAAGGTCACAACGAAGGTAGCTTCACCAACGGTGGTGGGCTTATCTTCGAACCCTAGGAGTACTTATGTGAGCAGCTCACAGGGAAACACCTCGGCCCAGTAGGAGTGTTAGCCGCTCTTACTCACGCTGAAGTGGTAACGTTGCCTTCCCCACTTCAGGCGCTGGCCAAGGCTAGAGACCCACACATCGCCCCGCAGACATATTCATACCCACCGACGCTCTGTTCGAGAGATGTGTCTGAGGCTCTAGAAGAGTTCGGGACCGAGTGGTCAAAGAAGGACCCCAGGGACTCTTGGGCGATGATCAATAGAGGTCCAAAGGGTGAACATTTCGTGGTAGAAGTAGATGTAGGTGGCCGCAAGGTTGGCGCCTTCCAGACATAGGCTCTACACAAAATTTCATCAGTCGTGCTTGTGTGGATAGACTGCACTTAGGGGACCAAGTGCAGCGGCTTAGCAGAACTGTAGCTTCTACGCTAGCCAACAAGCACCAAATGGTTGTAAAGGACTATGTCAAGGACGCAGCCTGCACCTTCTCCTATGGAGGAGGGGAAGTGATCCACAAGATCTCCTTCCTGGTGAGCGCCGAACTGCCATTCCATATGCTACTAGGCATGTACTACCTCGAAGTCTCACAACCTCAGTTTGACTGGGATAGAAAGGTGTTGATCCACAAATTGCCCAATGGTAGAACTGTTAGATTGCAAAAGTACAAAGCTAGCAGTCTAATAGAAAACTACGGGTGTATGTGCACTTCATCCTTCTATAACTACTATAAGCAGAATCGAGAGGAGGGCATGTATCTAGTCTTTGTCTCTGAGAAAGGGGAGGCCGTTAAATCACCCCCAGAGATAGAAAGAGTCGTCGCACAATATTCAGACCTTTTTAGGAGCCCACATACGTGGTAGAAAGGGAGGTTGTCCATGCAATAGAGGTCGTCCCAGGTAGCAAGGTGCCTAGAGGACGAATCTATAAGATGTCTCCTGCGGAGTTAGATGAGCTTCGCTACCAGCTCAAGGAGCTCACAGAGAAGGGATGGATACGACCTAGTACCTCCCCTTACGGTGCGCCAGTCTTATTTGTCCCAAAGAAGGGAGGTCCATTTAGGATGTGCATTGACTATAGGGGCCTCCATGATATCACCGTTAAGAACGCGGAGCCCCTACCTCGCATTGACGACCTCTTGGATAGAGTGCAGGGATGCCGGTACTTCACAAAGATAGACTTGAAGACCGAATACCATCAAATTGCCGTTAGACCTGAGGATCAGCACAAAACCGCATTTCAGACCAGGTACGGTCTGTACGAGTTTGTGGTGATGCCTTTTGGCCTATGCAATGCGCCTGGTACGTTCCAGCACACAATGAACAAGATTTTTCATGACTACTTGGACAAGTTTATCATCCTGTACCTCGACGATATTCTCATCTTTAGTAGGACTGTAGAGGAGCACACTGAGCACTTGAAAACAGCGCTAGGTCTCCTAAGACAGCACCAGTACAAGGTAAACTTGGATAAATGCGAGTTTGGTCGCACCAAGATCTTGTACTTGGGTCGTGAAATTTCAGCAGATGGATTGAGGCCGGAAGATGCGAAGGTGGCCAGCATACGTGACTGGCCTAGACCTTAGACCGTTACTGAGGTCAGATCGTTTTTGGGGATGACGGGCTATTATCGTCCGTTTGTAAAGAACTATAGCACTATAGCTTCCTCATTAACAGATCTATAACTCGACTTGACACCCCTTGGGAGTGGACTGAAGAGTGTTAGGCGAGCTTCAAGAAATTGAAGTATGCTCTTACACACTACGAACTTCTCAAACTTCCTGATCCTGACAAGCCATTTGTTGTAACCACAGACGCCAGCCAATATGGCATAGGCGCGGTCCTTGCGCAACAGGAAGGGCCCAAGTTGAGACCGATCGAGTATATGAGCAAGAAGATCCCATCTCAAAAGTTAGCTAAGTCCACGTACGAGAGAGAGCTCTACGCCCTATACAGAGCGCTAGTCCATTGGAGACACTACCTTCTAGGAAGATTCTTCTATGTGAGGTCTGACCATGAGACTTTGCGCTGGATTAAGACACAGCCTGTGTTGTCAGACGCACTCAAGAGATGGATTCAAGTAATAGACATGTATGACTATCAACTTGATCCTATCAATGGTACGTACAACAAGGTGGCTGATGCGCTATCAAGAAGGGCAGATTATCTGGGCGCGCTAGTCACTGAGTTTGGCATATTTGACGAACTCACTCGATCACTGGTGGAAGCCTATCAGGGAGACCCATTCATGTCAGAAATCATTCGTAGATTTCAAGCAAAGGACAAGAAGACTTTGGATGAATTTACAATGGTAGATGGCTTGCTATTCCTTGAGAAGGCAGGGAATAAAAAATTGTGTGTCCCATCTAGTGAGTCTTTACGTAGTTTATTTTTAGGCGAGTGTCATGACGCAACTGGTCATTTTGGATATAAAAAGACCTCAGCTAACCTAGTGCAGAGATTTTGGTGGCCTGCTATGATGCAACAAACAAAAAGGTATGTTGAGACTTGCCAGGTCTGTCAGAGGGACAAACCTAGGACTCAGGCTCCGCTTGGGCTCATCAAGCCCTTGCCGATTCCTTAAGGTCCTGGTCAAAGTGTGTCCATTCACTTCATGGATACTCGTGTAACCAGTAAGTCTGGAAAGAGGCATATCTTCGTAATAGTGGACCGCTTTACTAAATATGCAAGACTGATCGCTATGCCAAAAACTACGAAAACTGACTATGTCACCAAACTGTTTCTAAATCACTGGGTTAGGGATTTTGGACTGCCCACATCAATAGTGAGCGATAGGGATGTAAGGTTTACCAATGAACTATGGCAGGCAACTGCTGAACAAATGGGAACTAAGCTCCAAATGACTTTAGGGAATCACCCTGAGTAAAATGGTCAGGCAGAACAGATGAACCAGGTAGTACAACACTTGCTTTGGCATTATATTAAGCCAAGTCAGGATGATTGCGATGAGCAGTTACCTCTCGTCGCCAGCTTATACAATAATGTTGTGCATAGTACTACGGGTATGACTCTTAACCAGTTACATCTTGGTTGGAAACCCAAAACTGCGCTTGACTTTCTGCTACCAGAAAGGCAACCCATTGCAGCCCCAGGCAGCATTGAGTATGCTATCAAGTATGAACAAATGCTAGAGAAGGCAGTGGAACACATTAAGAAGTCTCAAGATGCTATGATTGCATCTGAGAACAAACATAGACGGCCTTCTAACTTTCAGGTAGGTGAGAGAGTCTGGATGAGGTCATCTGAACCGAGTCAAGAGATAGGGATCTCGAGAAAGCTTATGCGACAGTACTTTGGGCCCTGGGAGATCTTAGATATTGTAGGGGATCAACCGGATGGGCCTTCATACGTGATTCGCATCCCTGCACACTTGCGAACTTATCCTGTTTTCCATGCATCCAAGCTGGCACCTTTCGCTTCCACAAACCAGTTTCCCTCTCGGAGATCAATGCTGCCCCCAACCATGGATGGCGAAGTGGACATTGACCAGATTCTCGAGCATCGAGTGATGCCTGTTCCTCGACCATCAGGTAGAGGGCGACCTCCTAAACCAAGAATGCAGTATCATGTGAGCTTCAGACATCATCTGGATCCGAAAGAAGACCGGTGGTTCACACGAGAAGAACTCATGAGAACAGCACCTCAAGTGATTGCAGGCTATGAAAGAGCACTCAAGGGGAAGATGCCTGCAAAATAAGAGACTTCTCAGAGGACTCCCGAAGTAAAGGAGGAGGGAATGCGAGGATCAGGGTCCTCGGCAAGCCTATGGAGCCCTGTTTGCAACATTACCCGCCCTAAGTGAAGGCGGAGGTGCCCGCCCTAAGTGAAGGCGGGCCTGGCTTTTTGCAAGAGGCCCTCGACTGTCAATTTCATATTTGGGGTCCAGGCAGTTGCGACGCGCCAGATGGTTGAAAGAAACACAAGCCGAGCAACATAGACGTTTCCACGGCCTACCGGGCATTTCCAAAGAATGCAGGCCCTGGGCGTGATTTGCAGCCTCATACAGAGACAGTTGGGCGCCCAACCGAACGAGGCCTAGCAGCCCAATAGCTGCTGCATCCAGGCAGCCTCCTGGGGCTTTCCGGAAGCTTTTGGGCCCAGGCCAGCCCAGCCAGGCTGCGAGAGCTGGCCAACTCTTTTCCATAAAGGAAAGAGCTCGGCCCTCGCTGCCGCAATCAGGCACTCGCATGCTGGCGGCAGCGCTGCTGGAGCTCATGTTCATAGGCTGCGGCTAGCGCTGAGAGGCGAGGTGCAGAGGAGGAGGGCGCTGCTGAGGGCAGCGCCATAGCCCAGCCACCATAGCTGGTGGGCGTGGACTGCAGTGAAGCGCATGGGCGGTCTTCGGGTGAAAGAGAGGACAGGTGTGGGTGAAGTCAAGAAATAGGTGAAGGATGATGATGATGATGATGATGTG